AGAGATATTATTAATCAAAATAAAGTTATACATGACTAATAAAAAAAAAGCTTATCTATCAAAATTTCAAATTTAATTCTGCCATGTAACGATAGACCATAATCAAACACTGAGTAACTTTTAACAACAATGTACGAAATGTTCATGTGACGTTAACCTTTACTATATGACCTTGATAGTGGCTTTTGAAACACTTACAAATTAGTGTTAATAGAATTTATTCAATTTATATTAATTTCGGATAGGACATTTACCGTTATTAGGAATATAAATTTTGGACAAAAAAGGGTGTCAAGGGAAAAATTTACAAATTCTTAATAAAGTTGTGCATATCAAATAAAATAATTTTAATCAAATATATCTTGTTCGACTATTCTTTGTAATAAAACGAGCTTCTTTTTTCGATTGCTTTTTCATCAACAACACAAAAACTCTATTTGGAAGACCCTATTTAGAATACTCATTGAGGGACCTGATATATACGCAGATAAAGATTATTTCAAAGAACAAATAAGGATGTATTTCAAATTGGTATCAAAAGTTCATAAAACCTATGCGTACAAAATGAATATTTTGTTTGATTGTTGTTATCTCTTGTGCAAGCGAAGTTTAAAGAAAGATAAATCAATTGCTGAAGATAGAATTGGTTTTTCTTTTTTAAACACCAATAACAAAATATAAAAAATCTAAAGAACCAATGAAATAGGTTCCTTGAAAATTTATTTCGGTTTGTTTGTTTTCTTTTTTTAATGAATATTCCCAGATGTTAACTGATATTACAGAACCTTTTTTCACTGATGAAGATTGCACGTAATTTATTTTCTGAACCAATCGGGCAATCTTGCGGGTAATTCATGTTACCATGTGCTTCTTCCATACGCGCATATAAATTTTTTCAAGCATGATCAATACATGACCAAGCGTATTAATAATGTAGGGGCGTATATACATGAATGCCCCGATGATTGAAGTGGCACCATCGCGGTGAGTTTTTTCTTTTCAATTCAATCTTTGTCATACGCGCAATTCTGATTTTGTTAAGGTTATTTACGAATAAAGTAGCAATGTAATGTTTTATTAAACAGTATAGATTAATTTTAATATGGTCAATCAAAGGTATTTTTTTTTAAAAAAAAACTTACTGCGCGTATCATTGTTGTATAGAATTAGAATTATTTCAAAATTGCCCGACACGATAGGGAGTGAAAACGTGACGATTTTCGAACTGTACTTGTACGACTTGCCTTAACCAAAAATTATTATCTTTGTCTATGAAAAAATTACATTGTTCATTGGGACTACATGTCTGTTTATATGCCATCCTTATTGATGGTATAACAAATTAAACTTTATTTTTGATTATCCGTATAAGACCATGTGATTTAAAGTGACGGTATATCATTGGTTTTTTTTCTATCGGTAATAAGACGATGACTGTGCTGATATAATCACTTATGTAAAATGCGCGGTTATTCCTTGTCATTCATGATAAAGGTAAAAAAAACTTGAAATTTTATTTTTATTCAAAGAACAATAACTAAAGAGACTTTATGCGTTAGTTAAAAATGGTCGAAGAATCTAAAAAAAAAAAACATTCCGATTCGCTAATTTGTTAACCTAAATGAGTTATTGCCATCTATTTATTGCTTATCACCGTACGTAGTCTAGTGAATCTATCACGTGACTGCCCTCACAGAATTCAACTATTATGTCCTAAATGCAAGGGTTCCTAACGAAACGTTTATGCGTAAAATGAAAATTGTTCTTAACAGTTAAAGATCAAAATATATATATATATAATTCATAAAAAGAAAAAAAATATAAACACATGTTGTCCACCCGTTTGACATATTATTTTCCTTGTATCATAAAGCATAGTTTTCTCTGTAAATACTTGATGCGCACAACCATAGAATATACCAGGTTATTATAGCTTGTAAACCTACAAATTCTAATAGTTAAATATATACTTATTTTACGAGTATTAACAGAATTTTATATATATATATAGCATAAGATAATTTTGAAGTGATTTTCCTTTGATCCCATATTGGTATTTTATCACTATTTTCACAATAAAATAAAATAAAATAAAATAAAATATAAACCTTTTTTTTTTTTTTAATATCGTCAATATGTCTTTTTTAAAAACTTAAAAATTCATTCTCTCCAAAATCCCATTCGACATTGGGATTCTCAAGGAAAATATCCAATCCACAAGGTTCCGTAGTTATCTGACTATTTGTAGTAAGATAATATGGAGTGTATGGTGGGAATGTAAGTCCAAAATATTCGTTATATCGATATGTTTGTTCAATGTCTAAACCATCAATGAAGCTTGTCATTTGAAATTCTTGATTGTCAGCATTATGATCTAATTCATTAGAATTAAAATCTTCGACAATCAGATTTTTCACCGGTTCTTGAAGGCATGTTTGTTCTTGATTTAATTGATCAAATAAAGAATCTTGAGATGATTCAGGAGTTAGTAAATGAACTTTTGTCGTCAAAGGTGAAGAAGGTAACGGTAAAGGTTGTGGATCAATAATTTGTTCCTTATTTTCATCCATGAGTTCATCCGTATTCACGACAGATTCTAACTTTGTTTGTTTGTAAAGTTGACGTACTCCCTTAGCAATTTCTTTATATTTTTCTCGAACTTTATCAGATTCATTTTTCCATGAACTAGAAACCCATGGAGATACATCGGTCATTTTAAACCGAAAATCTCTTGCGATTAATTCTTTTGTATAAACTTTTCTATATATGAAAAATGCATTAGGAGGTTTAGAAGGTAATTTACGTGTTTTACAATTAATCAAATCTTCAGCATTAATTTCAGGCGGGAAAGGTAACTTAAAAGATGGAGGCGGCTTTACAATTTTGCATGGTTGACTATTAGAATCCATTCCCTCTAAATAATTTTGTTCTTTAAAAACTTTATGTGAAGATGATTTTGGCATCTTAAGGGAATTTTTTTGCCTAGTGCAAATTCCGTAGTTCGTATGAATAAGGAGAGTATGGTATTTATTCACACTTGTCTAGGACTCAAAACCTATGCATGCATCTTTTGCTGATCAACTCATCTTGCGTCTTCGCTGTTCTATTTATGCCCATTTTAGGGCGATCTTTTTTTATAATAATACAGTATATTCACTCAAAACTGATAAGTTGTATTACAAAAAAAGTATTTACAAATTTTTTATTTTAATATAAATTCTTTGAATATATATAATTACACTTGTTAATAAGATTCAGATCTACCCGTGAAATTCATACTGATACCTTCATTAAAAAAAAAAATTAGGTTTCACAATGTAAGACGGACAAAAACACCCGATTCAGTTTGTGGCTGTGCCTGAATAGTCAATGATATTCGTAATATTTGTGTTCGATCCAAAAAGTTGGACTTTTTTGTTGTCACTTCACTTTTTACTTATATTTTTACGTACCATGGAGCATTTGTTATTTACTCCATAAAGCAATAAATATCTATTTTTTACTATTTTAGTTCGCTAAATAGTGTATAAATTTTATCTGTACTTTAATGATTCTTGTCTAAAAGCTTGGCAAAGTTAAATAAAAACCATTAATTTTCTTTGTTACCTACGGATTGTTTCGTGAATCGTAATAGAAGAACACACCATTATTCTTCTTTTGGAATCGCGTCATAATCTCTTTATTACACATTCTGATCTTATGTATTACTTTTTATGGTAGGAATGATCCAAAAAAAGCGATAGAATCCGGAATGCATGTTTCCGATGGCATTCTTTGTTATAGTATATATTAAAAATGCTGTGAAATAATCATGGAATATTAACATGTCATGTGTATATCTATTGTTGACTTACACAAATCCTGAAAATTTTTAATCCTGTTTATTAAATTGATTCTATTAAATTATCTATTATTGGTTATATTGTATTTACTCACCAGATATATAATCAATCATGAAAATTCTTTGATCTGAGATTTCTTATCAAGAATGATTGGTCACGTAATCGTTTTACACAATTTTATTCAATTCGTACATACATCCCCACGCGGCTCACTTTAATAAGTGCGTCTTTTTTTTTTTTATCTAATCCACATATTTTAAAGTCTTTGATATCAAATTTAGTCGTTAATATAGAAAATATTCGCAAAAAAAAATTATATAACACCAATTAAATAAAAATGAGGTGATCTTGCTGCTTTTAGTCATAAAAATCTTATATACAGTAGATACGTATAAACAATCACAATCAAAATGTTCAATTTAGCGCCATTCATCCATTATCGTTATATGTACTATTGTTGGACAAACCCGGACAAATCCCAAACCCCAATTTTTCATAAATGGCAATAGTCAAAATAAAAAATTTTGTAAATTTATTATTTAGAGCACGCAATAAGAATTATTAATAATTTTTTTGAATTACTGTGTCAATTTTTTTGGTTTCTTGAGTTTAACGACTCTAATTAACTCTTAGTAACAACTTTTAAAAGGCTGACAAGAACGATACTGTAAATAGAGTATTAGGTCTAGTCTTAGACTGATAGACCCACAATTAGTCTTAAGGCCAATCTGGAAGACCAGACCAGTCTAGACCTATCTAATTAACTCAAGACTATAAAACCATAATAAATCAGACCAGCCTGGACTAAAATGGAGAGCAGACCGTTAACATTCCTAAATGGAATATAAAATTTTGTGTGCATTTATAATATACTATATTTGCAAATTTCAGAATTATTATTATTATTATTATATTCTTTGACTCGATTTTTATAAATGGTACGTATTGTCGACAACTACATGTCAATATCTGTTATATACAACTCAACCACAAATGTGCATGTAGGGTTGTTAATGGAGCAACTTACCCTGGTGCACTCCGGCGTAAAATCCAACCTAAGTTGGAATGGATTTTAAAAAGTTATGTCTAAATTTGGAGCAACCTGGAAAAAAACAATTCGGAGTAAAAAAAATAAGTCTAATTTAGTGGTGAGGTGCATGCATATATTTTATTATGATAAAAAATTTTACTTACCGTTGTCATTTGGAATCAACTTCATTCAAGTTTATTAAGATCGTCCATAACCATAAGCGTTTTAGAGGTTTTCACTATTGTAT